AAATAAAGACGTTAAAAAGTATCTTTTTAATACGCTTACGCTTAATATTAAGAGCTCTTCTTTATATTATTAAAATTAATTATAATAATTTAAGTCTTCTTCTTCTTTTTTTTATTTAATATAAACTTTTTAAATTTTAGATAAGAGAACTTAATTTAATATTTAACGAGGGAATATCTAAATTTATATTTAACGATCTTATATAAAGAATAAATTTCGCGATTAATTTTCGAAATCGCCGATTTTATAATATTTAATAAACTACTTATTTTTATTCTTATTATTATTATTATAAATAGCGTATATAATAATATTATTATCTTTAAATAATAGTAGATAAATTTCTTTATTTATCGCGATATAGATAATCTTATTAAATTTAATAATCTTATTATTATATAGCTTATAAATCTAAATATAAATTATTATAAAGATATTAAAAGAGTTTTTAAGTTTTATAAGAAAGAGTTAAATTAGAAAGAGCTTTAATAAAGCGAGCGATTTATATAAACTAGCGATTTTAATAATAATCTTATAAAAATTCTTTTTATATTAATAAATATCTTTTTTAAAAATAAGAGTAATATTAAGTAATTAGCGAATTAGCTTTATATAAAGTTTAAAGTTTTTAAATTTATAATATTTAGTAATAGCGTTAAATATTATTTAAAAATTCTTATTATTATAATTAATCTTGATAAGCTAATAATTATTATATTTAAGATATTAAAAAATAATTATATAAGTTTTAAACTTAATAATTTTAATAAAAAATAAAAGATTATTAAGTATTAATTAGCTCTTAATATCTTATCTTTATCTAATATATTCTATATTAAATTTTAGAATAGCGATAAAAAGATTAAAGAAAAATTATTTTTATTAAATTAAGATTAAAAATCTTAATTATAAAGCGCTATAATTAATTATTTAAATTTATTATTACTAAAAGATAGTTTAGATAAAAATATATAGAATATTAATAGAGAGAGCGATAGCGGCGATAATAATAATAATTTAATTATTATTTTAAATAAAATAATAGAGTTAAAGAAAGACTTTAAAAGTAACTTTTAAAGTAAATATAATAGATATTTTAATATAAAGATTAAATAGCTTAATATCGCTTATAGAGCTAAATATATCTTCGCTAACTTCGAATTTAAGATTAATAAAATTATTATTTAATAAAATAGCGAAAGTAGAATAAATACTCTAATTATTATTAGAGTTTTTAAAGATCTTATTAATATTAATTAACTATCGCCTTTAAACTTTAAGTTTTTATATAAAAAATAAAAAGTATTTATATATAGAGCTATAATAGATATAAGCGATATAATTAAAATAAAAGATATTTAATAATAAAAATAATTTATAAATAAAGATTAGTTTCTAATAGAATTATATAAAGTATAGTTATTATAAATATATAAATCTTCTTCTTAAAGAGAAATTAATACTCTTTTTATATTACTTATTTAAAGATTTAGATCTAGAATATTTATATCGCTAGCTACTATTATAAGACTTCGAAGATTATTTTAACTTTATAATTATAATAATAGAATATAAATAAATATAAAAAAAGAATTCGATAATAAGAGTTTTAGCTCTTTTTTTAAGAGGCTTTTAAAGATCTAAAAGCTAATATTAATAAGATATTCTTATTATTTTAATCTTAATAGATTTATAAGCGTATTAGAAGATAGTAATATTAGCTCTAAAATACTTTAAATTATAATTAAACTATTAATATTAATATTTAATTACTTTTAATTAATAATTATTAATTTAATAATTAATATATAATTTTAAAGTTAATATTAATATAAAATAACTTTATTTTTAATAAAGTTAAATATTCTAATTTAGCGAAAACTAATAAGATTTAGAGAGCCTTAACGATATAACTTAATTATATAATAATATAATTATATACTTAATATATTTAGCGAGTTCGATATTTTGACTAAAGATAATATATCTTAACTCGCTTAGAGTAGAGAAGAAAAAAGACTTTTAGCCTCTTATATTATTAATTAATTATACTTACTTAGATCTATAACTATTTTAAAAGAGAGAAAAATATCTCTTATTAAGAAGATTAAAAGAATATCTTTATAGCTACTACTATCTTTATATAATAGATTTTAAATATTATAAAATAGATATTAAAAGTCTAAGAGATAATTATAATTATAGAGATAAATAGTAGTTATAATATAATAGTTATCGAGTAAAGCTTGAGCTTATAATTTATAGAAATATAAGATAAGATACTTAGTTATTAACTATAAAGTTACTATAATTTTTTTTTTTTATTTTTTTTTTTTTTTTTTTTTTTTTTTTTTTTTTTTTTTTTATTTTTTTTTTTTTTTTTAAAATTTTTTTTTTTTTTTTTTTTTTTTTTTTTTTTTTTTTTTTTTTTTTTTTATTTTTAATTTTTTTTTTTTTTTTTTTTTTTTATTTTTTTTTTTTTTTTTTTTTTTTCCCCCCTTTTTTTTTTTTTTTTTTCTTTTTTTTTTTTTTTTTTTTTTTTTTTTTTTTTTTTTTTTTTTTTTTTTTTTTTTTTTTTTTTATTTTTATATTTAAATTTAAATTTAAAAAATATTTTTTTTTATAAAAATTAATTTAAAGTATACTCTAATATAGATATAAAAAATAATAAATATATATAAAAAGTATAGATATATATAATAAAGCGTATAATATTATAGATATTTATAAGAATATCTAGAAGTTTATAAAGAGTCTTTATCTTATTAAGCGTTATCGCTTTATTATCTAACTTCTTCTTAATTTTTAAATAATTTTTAATATATTATATAGTTATAAGAGTTATATTAAAATAATTATAAATAATATAAAATTATATAATAGATATATATTTAAGAGTATTAGAGTAAAGAAGATAATAACGAGTATAAGAGTATTATAAGCGAATATAAATTATAATATTAATATTAATATTAATATTAATATTATTAATATTAAATTAATAATTATATATTTATCTATTAAAATCTATTAAAAAGATTAGAAGACGCTATAAATATATCTATTATATATTATTTATATAAAAATTTATTATAATATAAGCGCTATATAGATAAATATAATAATTATATTTAATAATTATATTATTATTTTTATTAAATATAATATTATAAAAATAAGAAGTATATTAATAAACGCGTTAGATATAATAATAATAAATATTTTTATTTAAAATTAATAGAGGTTTAGCGCTTCGAAGAGTAAGCGTAATAAATTAAAATTATAAATATATAAGAAATATATATATATTAATAAAGTCTTTAAAAATTTTACGATAATAATTATAATAATAGAAAAAGATATATATATATATAAAATATATACGTTAATACTACGTTTTATATATATTAATAATTAATAATATAAGCTATTAAGAGTAATAAAAGAGTATTAATAAAATAGAAAACTTTTTAAAAAAAGTAAATATTATTATAATTATATATTAATTATACGCGTCTTATATTTAAATTATAACGCTAATAATTACTCTATATACTATTATAATTATATTTAATTTATAAAAATATATCTAATATTATCTATACGCGTTATATATTTTTATTATATTTTTATAATATACGAGTAAAGGCCTATAAATTAAATTTATAATTTTTTTTAAAGAGCTATCGAGTAAGTAGATAAGCGATCTTTAATAAGCGAACTTTAATAAGCGGGCTGTCCGGCTGTCGAGCGAACTTTAATAAGCGATATTTGAATTTCTTACGCTTTAATAATTATAAAACTAAATTTTAAAGTTCTTAAAAATTCGAAAAGTATAAATAGCGCTTTAAAATTTAAAAAAAATCTTAAAATTTTAATAGAAAATAAAAAGTAGTTCTATATATTAATAATATATATCTATTTTTTAATAAGAAAGATGTAAAAGACGAGATTTCGATAGTTATAGACGCTAATTTATTTATCTATAATAAATTAGTCGATCTAGTTAAAAAGCGTAGAGAACTTAAATTAATAATTAATTATATATATAAATTTAAGATTTTTAAGCTTAACTCTATCTTATTCTTTTATATATACTAATTACGTTTACGCTATACTATTATAAAAAACTCTTTTCTTCTTTTTTATAAGATATAAAGAATTTTGCTTAGTCTTAATTAGTCTTTTAATAATAAGAAAATATTCTTTCTCTACTTAGATTTAAGAATAAATTTTTAAAGAAAAAAGATAATTATTAGAAAAGAGGCTTATAGATTCTAAGTAAGAGAATTCTAGATTACTTAATTTATATACGCTTAATATATACTTAGCGAAATCTTAACGAATAAACTTAAGTAAGCGATTTCTCTCGAGTTTTCTTTACTTTTTTAAAAATTAGTTTTATTATTAAATCTATATATAAATATATTTATCTTTCTAATTTTATATTATTATATAACTCTAAAACTCTTCGAGTCTAATAAATTTATAATAAATTAAATTACTTTAAAATTTATATCTTAGTCTTTTAAATAAATTATTTTAATACGTTTAGATTATAATTATATAATTATAATTCTTAATCGTATTATAGTTAATAACTATAAGTTATTAAAATTAATAACTTCTATTCTAATATATTATAATTATTTATTCGAGTTCTCTTTTCTTTACTCTTTCTCTACTTATCTCGTAATCTCTTTATAGTTATTAAGAATACTATTAACTATTTCTAACTAGTATATTTTATTTTTTAATTATAGTTATTACGTAAATATAAAATAAAACTATTTAAACGATATAGAATTAAATTATACTATCGAAAAATATATAATAAATCTATATCTTTATACTCTAAAATATATAAATACTATAAGTTCCTCGAACTTTACGTATTAATATCTCTTAGTAAAATAATAATAATAGTAGCTTATATTTCCGGTGTAAATTCGTAGAATGATGACAGAAGGGTTTCATATATGTATTCCATTCGTCATTTGTTACGCCTTCATTTCTTGAAGACTCTCCAGAACGACATCGTACAAGCGTCCCGACCTGATGGACTCGTAGACCCGGGTGTTATAAAGCCCCATACTCGGTGTGACACCGTCCGGCGTCGCGGCCTCGGTCGAAGCCAGCTTCGCCTCGCCCAGGAACGGGATGCCGAGATCCTTCCGAATGAAGCGGTACATGCGTTGCGAGGCCCGGCCGATGTACGGCGTCGCGTCAGGCGAAACGTCGTCCTTCCGGCCTTCAATCTCGATGGTGCGCAGGTCCAGGGCTTGACACAGCGCCAGAAGGTGCGCCGAGGCGATCTGGGACAGCACGTCCACGGCCTCGAGCGTATACCGGGCCGACACGAGCGCCAGGGAGTTGAGAGCCTGGTTGCCCATCTCGGCCGTCTGGACGTGCGACCCGACGGGGTTGGCCAGGAAGCCCAGCTCCGAGGTCAGGCCCGCAACGACGACATCAAGCCCCTTGAACAGGAAAGAGTCGTTAGGGTCGTCCGAGCACAGGTTGGGCGGCAGGCCCCAGCTGGTGGCCGGGTTGATCATCTCGGTGCACTGGGTGAAGAGCATGCGGCCGATGCTCTGGAGGCCCTGGCGCAGCTTTTCGGCCGCCGATGTGACAGCGCGCGCCTGAAAGTTGCCGCCGTGGAGCACACGGCCTGTCTCCGGGTCAACCAGCGGGTTGTCCGTCACTGAGTTGAGCTCGACTGTCAGCTGGTCGTATGCCAAAGCAAAGTCTTCCAGCACAGGGCCGATCCACTGGCTGGCCGTGCGCAGCGAGTAACGGTCTTGTCGCAGCGTCGCCACATTCTGGCTGTCGTGCCGGTTGAGCAGCTGTGACCCGGTAAGGAACGCCTTGATGTTCCGCGCGCTGTCCACTTGCCCCGGGTGCGGTCGCACCCGCGCGATGAAGGGCTCGAAGCTCTCGTCGCTGCCCCGTAGCGCCTCCACGCTCATGGCCGTCAGCACCTGCGACAGCGCTGCGAGGTGGAGGGACTCATGCGCCGCAAGAGACGCCACCCCGGCCGACACGGCTGTACCGTTGACGATGGCGAGGCCCTCTTTGGCGTGCAGGCTGATGGGTGCTTAGATATTATTAAGAATATTATATCTAGTAATTAGTCTTATTATATAAGTAACTATATACTCTAGTATTATTAATACTAATTAGTATACTTTAATACTAGTATATAGATTAGCAAGGCTATACTCTAAAGAAAGTTCGTCTCAATATCGCCGCGGTACTTCACACGGTTCTATATTACTTAATCGATTTCGCTTATTATAACGATTCGATTAAATAGAACTATAATTTCTATAATTCCTACGACTTCTACTTAGCAGAGAAAACACCTAGAAAATATTAAATACTTATTAAGCTTTACACTATATTAATATATAATACATATTAAAATGAATATCAAAGATAAGCTACTAACTCTTTACCTATGACTATAAGTAAGCTAGAGAAACTATAAGAAGCTAAGCCATCAGACATAATAAAGAGAAACTCTAGAAATTCGTTCGTTGAAGGGTATAACAATATAAAATATATAAATTTACGACACTCTCTAACGTCTTTATTAACGACTTTACCTAATACGTTAGAGAGAACTTCGAGATTCTTAGTAAGGACGCTATTATTAGTCTACGAGATTGCCTATAAGCTAATAAAGCCTATATTAAGAAAGGAAGAGGATTCTTAATAACTAAAGAATTAGCGGATGTAATTAAGGAAGAGATCCTATGGCCACCAGACGACGAAGACCGTCCCCTATTAAAATCATCTCATTACTATCCTCAGCAACAACGTTATTAATCAATACTACCCCGCCGCAATATTATCAGCAGCCTTATCGACCGAAGAATACTATTCCTCTCCCCCGCAACCGCCTTATCAACCGGAGAATCCTACTTTAATTCTCCCCTTAACACCAGCTTACGGCCCAAATTACCGAGTCCTACACCTACTACCCTCGCCCTATTAAGTTATTTAAGACTTCGAGAATAATTAAAACTATGGCTATATTAAGGAACTCGCTATACTAGCCAAATTATATATAAGCGAGAAGAAGTATAATAAAAGCCCTATCGAAAGTCTCAGCTATAAATTTATGATTTTTATAAATCTTTATAAGAGAGCCGAGATCCCTCAGTAGATCCTTTAAATAGTATTTTTAACTATACTAAAATCTATAATATTAAAGTATTATTACTCTAGTTATTAAGGGATTAGCCTTATTATTTAATAACTCTTCGATTAATTTTAGAGCTATTTCGAGGAGAGAAGAATATCGTTATCTTATACTTCGTAAGTGAAATAGTATTAGTCTAAGAGGCTTACTTCGAGCTAGTCTCGAAAAGAATAAAGGAACTATCTTTAATAAGATGATTTAATAACTTCGTTAAACTTAAAGAGGGCTAAACTACGAATTTTAGTTAGATATAGTACTTCGAAATAAGATAATTATCTCTTATAGTAATATCTCTATATATAGTATTATAATTCTATAATAGACGACTATAATTACGAGGCTAATTAATAATATCTATACTATAATCGAGAATCACGAAGAGACTATAAAGGCTAAGAGATTCGAGCTATTTAGACCTATAATATACTTTACTAATTAAAAGTATTATATTAATTAACCTTTAAATTAAAGTAATTATAGTAGATTGTTCTCGTAGATAAATAGCTTTTAGAAAAAGCGATACTTTATCTATAGAAAGATAGGCTACTAATTAATTAAGTATATCGATAAGAAACGCTAGAAGTCTCAAAATAAGTTCGCTAAGCGGTTTATCGGCTTTATTAATAAGCGATATAACTTCTATATTTAAGAGTTTAAAGGCTAGAAGAATAAGATCGAGGATCTTAAGACCTTAACTCTCGATATTTAAGATAATAACTTAAAGAAGATCGAAAACTTTATTATAATTACTTTTATAGTTATATTAAACTAAGCCTAAGTATATTACTTAAAGCTTTTTAGTTATTTTATATATTATAATATTACTAAGTCTAGTAGCTTTCTTAATATTAGTCGATATATCTTAAAGTAGTTTTATAATATTATACTAGATATCGAAGTTATATATATATTTACTACTACTAAATATAATTAAGTAAAAGTCTATATAAGAGAATTCGATATATAACTAAATATTACTATTAATAGTATTATTACTCTAATTTAAAATTAAGAATAGTAGCGTTAATTAAAAAACTTATAGTAGATTCGTTTATTAATCGAGTCGACTTCCACGTAATATAGACTAATACTCTTATTTCTACTATATATTTAAGATATAAATAGACTAGAGATCTATCTAAATAATCTTAAGAATTAAGTTATTTTAAGAAATAGATCTACGATCCTAATTATTCGCTTTTATAAATATCTATTCTTAATATAGAGTCTTATATTAGTTAACTATCTAATCGATATCGAGTTATATTAACTATATCGTCGATTCGATTATCCCTTAATTAATAGACTTATTTAAACTCTAGAGAAAGCTAGCTATGATGACTTCGAATATCGTTATATACTTAAACGAATTATCGAGTTCTATATACTCTATTAAAAGTACTCTCGATTCTTAGATCCGTTTTAAATTCTCACTTAAGGACGAGGATAATATCTATTTTAATTATATAATTATTATCGACGTTCTCTATATTAACGATAGTCTAATTCTATAAGTTATTAACGAAGAGAACTTTATTTTAGATCGCCCGATGACTAACGAATATAACTATCTTTTATATATAGAATATACTTAGACTATACTAAATAGACGTATATATTAAATCTTTAGATATTATTATTTATAACGCTAAGACTAATTTTAATAATATCGAGTTTAGATAAAACGCTAGAACTCTAAGTATTTAAACGAAATGCGTATTAGTTAAGGCCGCTAATTCTATCGGCCTAATAAAATGATATTATACTTTATTAAGACGAGCCTATTTGATAATTACTACGGAATTAAAAAATTAAGATATTAAAAAGAAGATTTGTCTATAAATAGCTATTAAGGCTATTAACGATATAGTCGAATATAATAATATCGTTTCTATATTACTAGTTTTTAAAACCTTTTCTTATATTACGAACGACGATATATTTACTCTATCTACTATTGAGAGAGTAAAAGCTATTAATATAGTAATAATCGAAAGTTATAAAACTTTACGCTAAGAGATAGATTAATAACGCTCTATATTAGCGAAACGGCCCTTAGATAATAAGAATATATGATACTTTAATTGATTCCTCGATATTAGTATAAAGAACGTATTAAAAGAAGTAAACTAAACTATATAAATTGCTAACCACTTCTCGAGAGATATATACCGTCGAATTATCTAATAGTTCTATAGATTTTCGAGTTACTATCGTTAAGTTATATTTAAAAGAAATAGATATCTTAATCGAGTCTCTCGAGTCCCTTGAATAAGAATCTCTATAGTTAGATGATACTTAATACGAAAATAACGATAATAAAGATTATTAAGACTCTTCTTAGAACGCTTTACTACGTTATAACCCTCCTCGACGTTAATATATTCCCGCCCGTTTTCGAAACTCTATCTAATATTACGATCTATATATCTAAGTCTATATTATAGTTACCTTTATCGAACTTTTAGATATCTCGATAAAAAGAACTTAGATAAACTACTTAAAAAGGAATATATTTGAGATTATAAAGATCGAAGATATTCTCGCAGAAGCACGGATATTTAATAGTCGTTTTGTGAATTAAATCAAGAATAAGGGTATCGAGAAAGCCTTCGAGAAGTCGCGACTAGTAGTTTAAGTATTTAATAACTCGAAGAAGTATAAGATTCTCACTTAGGCCTCTATTATTTAACGAGCTAGTTAACGACTTATTATCGCTCTATCATTAGCTATCCTATAGCTATCTCTATATCTACGCGATATTACTTAGATATATACGCATATCTCAATTTAAATTAGCTAGAGATATCTTTATTTTAGCCCTAGCTGAAATAGAATTATTATCGAGAACGATACTTCGTATTATTCTCCCTCTCTATAGAAATTGCTAAGTTCGATATCTACTAATTTTAGATATATTATAAATACTATATGGAGAAGCTGGGAATAACCTCGTCTATATTCGATACTTATCTACTATTTAATAACGATATAATAGTAATTATTGGCTTATAAACTAATAACTCTCTTATTACTAATATCACTAAGTTTATAAATCTAGAATTATAAGAGCTATATACCGCTAGACTATTAACTAAATTATTTAAGAGACTTACTTCAAAATAACCTCTCGAATTTAATAGATTTATTATTACTCTCGAGGATAATATAAAAATTAGTTAATATAAGTAGATAAAGAAGATTTAATTACTTTTAAAGTTATTTATAAAAGAGTAATATGTCGCCTAAAGAGCTCGGGGAGCGTATATTATAACGATATCGCAGTTATAAGCTATATTTACCTTATTATACGCCGCTTAGATTATGAATTCTATTTACGACGACGCTTAATATCTAAATCGCTATCTTTTATAGTAAATAAAAGAAAGAGGTCTTATATTCATTAAATTAGATATAACGTCTCTAAGAATTATAGCTTTTACGGATTCGTTATTCGCTAATAATAAAGATCTTTCTTTCTAAATCGGCTATATAATAGCTCTAGCTAACGCTTAGAATAAGGCTAATATTATTTATTAATAATCGATTAAATATCGCCGAGTTACTAGAAGCGTATTAGCCTTCGAACTTTATGTATTATCTCTAGAATTCGACGTTATAGCTACTATAAAATCTACTCTAAATTAAATCTTCTCTAATACTTTCTAGAGAAAGATACCTCTTTCTATATATATAGACTCGAAATCTCTATATAAATATCTTATTAAGCTAGAGACAATATAAGAGAAAAGACTAATAATA